CTATATTCATAAAAGGAAAAATCAACCAAAATTTTTAAATGTGGGCTATCTTAAATCTATCAAAATGAAAATCAACCATAAAATAAAAACAAACTACTAAATAAAATAAAATTGAACTATGTGATCAACTTTGAAAGTAACTTATCAAAAATAAAAATAAATCAGTTTCTTTTTCTAAATTTTTAATTAATGTCATTCATAGGTGGGCTATCTAAGGAATACTGAAAATTAACTTCGAGATCAATCAAAATGTACTTAGATAATTAAAACAAATTAGACGCTACTGTCTTTAATTGAGTGTGTACACTCCTAAAAATAACTGAAAAGAATCTCAAAAGTGAATTTATATAATAGCTTAATCAGAACTTTAATTGCACTCTGGGCATATGAATTTCTCCTTATCGTCTTTGTTTAAACCCACACAGACTTCATGATATAATTTTTGGCATTGACGCATATCATAAAGTTTATCCACCTTGCATCCATGACAATACCAACCATGCGGTCGTGGTTTCTTAATGTTTGCCTTGGTATGCCATATGTTCAGCAGCTTTTCGCTGTGACATTTGACAGCTTTTTACTAGCTGAAGGATGGATTTTAACTGTGTTTATGTGCATTCCCGGCGCCGTTTTTAGTACGTAGAAGGTCCCATTTTAATCTGCGATAAAAACTAGAATAAAACAAAGAAAAATTTAGTACCTCAAAAGTAATTTAAAAAAAATTACTGACTTCAAATTTAATACATTCTTATTCAATCTCAACAACAAGTCAAACTTAAAAAAACCAAACATACAAACACAAAAATATACTCACACTACATTTCAATAATCCTAGAAAGAATTTGGAATATTTGAATTTTGAATTTCTGCAATATCAGGGGACTTCACTCTAACCTAAACGCCGTCCACAACCATCTCGAGACGGCGAGGCCGGCTCTGCTCTTTCTGACCGAGACGCAGGTGTCCTCTCCGGCTGATGTCTCGTATCTCTCCTACCCGGGGTACAAACTGGAACACTCCTTTGTGCCTCGGGCTGGAGTTTGCGTTTACGTCAGAGAGGACATCTGCTCTCGACGCCTCGGCAGACTTGAAGGTTCGGACCTGTCCATCCTTTGGCTACGCGTAGACAGCGACGACCATCCGCGCGTCTACGGGTGCCTCTATAGGTCCCATAGCGGTAATGCCGAAACAGACCGACTATTCGACCACGTCCAAATGGCTGCAGATTCGTTGCTACAGCAGATCCCCTCCGCAGAGATCGTGATCCTCGGCGACTTTAACGCCCATCACGCCGAATGGCTTGGTTCACGTTTAACCGATCATGCGGGGAGATCTGTTCATGATTTTGCCTTGGCATATGGTCTGACACAATTGGTTACTTCGCCTACGCGGATTCCAGATGTGGAGGATCATGCACCTTCCCTGTTGGACCTTCTGCTGACCTCTCACCCGGACGGATATCAGATATCCGTCGACGCCCCTTTAGGCTCCTCGGACCATTGTCTTGTCCGGAGTGTGGTGCCACTCACGCTGAAATCGCGGTTGCATTCTGCAGGCTGCCGCCGTGTTTGGCACTATAGGTCAGCCGATTGGGATGGGATGCGGTCTTTCTTTGCATCCTACCCTTGGGGGCGGGTTTGCTTCTCGCCGGATGATCCCAACGTTGTTGCGGATTCTGTCGCTGATATGGTACTTCAGGGTATGGAACTTTTTATTCCTTCCTCTGTGGTGCCCATTGGAGGCAAGTCTCAGCCATGGTTTGGTCGCTCCTGTAAAATAGCATCATGCTATAAGCAGGAGTGTTACCAAGCCTGGGCTGATGCATCAGCGTCCCGGGATGTAAACACCAGCGCTCTAAAAAAGAAGTATAATTCCGCCTCTAGGTCCTTCAAAAGAGTCATTGCCAAGGCAAAGTCAGAGCACATAGGCAGAATTGGCGAGAAACTAGTTCACCTTCCTTCTGGAACCCGTGCATTCTGGTCTCTCGCCAAGGCTGTCCAGGGGAATTTCTGTCAGCCATCTCTTCCATCTCTGCACAGGGAGGACGACTCACTGGCCCATACCGCAAAGGAGAAAGCCGATCTTCTAGGCTCTTTCTTTGCGTCTAACTCGACTCTCGATGACGGGGGGAGTACTCCGCCGACCATCCCGCGGTGTGAGTGCTCCATGCTCCGGTACTCCTACTCCCTAGACGTAGTCCCAAAATCATGGAAGACGGCTTACGTCCACCCGATCCCTAAAAAAGGCGACCGCTCTGACCCGTCCAACTACCGGCCAATCGCCATCACCTCTTTGTTCTCCAAAACAATGGAGTCCATTGTAAACTGCCAGCTCATGAGGTACCTTGAAGATCACCAGCTGATTAGTGACCGCCAATACGGTTTTCGCCGTGGTCGGTCAGCTGGTGATCTTTTGGTCTACCTAACTCACAGATGGGCGGAGGCAGTAGAGTTCAAGGGGGAGGCATTGGCCGTTAGTTTGGACATTGCGAAGGCCTTCGATCGGGTTTGGCACAAAGCGCTTCTTTCGAAGCTCCCTTCCTATGGGCTTCCCGAGAAATTGTGCGATTGGATCACCAGCTTTCTTGCAGATCGGAGCATCAAGGTCGTTGTAGACGGTGCAAGCTCCGATTGCAAGCCTATTAATGCTGGTGTTCCACAGGGCTGCGTGCTATCGCCAACGCTGTTTCTTCTGCATATCAATGACATGTTGCATACCCGTAACATTCATTGCTATGCAGATGACAGCACTGGTGATGCTCTTTACACCGGCCGAGCCAATATTTCTCGGGAAAACGTCTCCGAGTGCCGGGACAAACTTGTGTCTGAAGTCGAGTCTCTGCTGGACAGAGTCTCGGATTGGGGGCGACTAAATCTAGTCCAGTTTAACCCCCAGAAGACACAAGTTTGCGCGTTAACCGCTAAAAAGAACCCCTTTGTCGTATCCCCTCAGTTTCAAGGCACTCCCCTTGTTGCCTCAGCCAGTATCGGAATCCTCGGCGTCGACATATCGAGTGACGTGCAGTTTCGTGGTCACTTGGAAGGGAAGGCCAAATTGGCCTCTAAAAAGCTTGGCGTGCTCAGCAGAGCGGGACAGTATTTCATGCCGGCACACCGCCTGCAACTTTATAAGGCGCAGGTTCGCCCGCACATGGAATACTGTTCCCATCTCTGGGCTGGGGCTCCCCAGTACCAGCTTCTTCCACTTGACCGCATCCAGCGCAGAGCGGCTCGAATCGTCGACGACCGTGTGCTTTCCGATCGGCTCGATTCACTGGCGCTGCGAAGAGATGTTGCATCTCTTTGCGTATTTTATCGCATCTATCACGGGGAGTGCTCTGAGGAATTGTTCGGATTAATCCCAGCCGCCAAATTTCGTGAACGCACTACACGTCAAACGTCCCGATACCATCCACACCATCTGGATGCTTGGCGGTCCACCACTGTACGTTTTACAAGGAGTTTTCTTCCACGTACAACCTCTCTGTGGAATAGTTTACCACCGGCGATTTTTCCGGACCGATACGACCTGGGGACCTTCAAGAAAAGAGCTTACTCCTTTCTAAAGGGCCGGCAACGCACCCGCAATTCTCCTGGTGTTGCGGTTGATCATGGGCGGCGGTAGTCACTTAACATCAGGTGAGCCGCATGCTCGTTTGCCCCTTCTTCTATAAAAAAAAAAAAAAAAAAAAGAAAGAAAGGCCCGGGCTATGTTTGGGAATTAAACTATGCGCCATTATAAGAAATTACACCCGGATTGAGTATAATCTCGTAAAAATACAAAAAAGAAATAAAATAATAACACTCACCTGTAATTCGCTGATAAATAGATTAAATATGAATTTTTACAGTTTAGAGCAAAGAGATTTGTTTAAAATTTGTCAATTTTCAAAAGGATTTAGATAATGGAGGTTATTAAACGTGCATCGTCTTGACATGATCAAGCAAAGTGTCATCTGTCTTCAAAATGGCAACGCGCCGGTAATGAAACACACTTGCATTATTGTATATGGTACTAGTAGCATAAATCCGCGAAATTTCAAATGTTTCGAATAATCATAACTGTATTTTTTTAAAGTGGGCTATCCTAGGAGCCGGGCCATCTTCGGCGACACTACCTATATGTAGATAGAGAGAGAGAGAGAGAGAGTGTAGTATATATCTGGGGAATACCTCTTCAATGCACAGGTGAAAGCGCAAAACCCAGTTACGAAACGTAGGTAGGTTCCACAGAAAAAACCCACCTGGTTAAATATTCCACCTCTCAGACTGAATAAGATTGTGGGTTCAATGCCACATCCGAGCCAATACATTGTTGTTTTAGTAACTAAGTACTAAGTACATCAATCACTATAGAGTCTTGGAACTTCCAAACATGGGACTTGCCAATAAATTGTCACAAAGCATCCATCGACTTCCGCACGTTTCATCAGTTCGTCACATAATATGAATGTTACCCAGCACTACGATGCTGCCACTCGAGAACATTTCTTCCCCATCGGTTGTCGATTCTTCAAGTCATATGGCCGGCTCATTGCTACTTCGCCTACTGATCCGCTGGGCTATGTCGGTTACTCTTGATCTTCTGCAAATATTTCCGTTACGGATTTTATCACGCAAAGAAACTGCAAGCATATCCCGTAGCATATAAGTCATACGGCCTGCAGTTAATTGCATATTTTACCCCTATATGACGGACCTATAAAAAACAAACGACCACTTCTTTCCAGCGGGCGAACTGTTCTTGATTGGTGGCAAATATATACAAAACACTCAACTTTAATATACACCTTGTAGAAAATTGTATCGAGTAAAAGAAGAACGATATTACCAAGATAAAAACTTGTAAGACTTGCTTTATCTTCTTTTCTTCTTAAGGTTAGTAGGTTAGTTACATAAATAAACCATTACGTTAATTGTAAAAAATAAGTGATGTTTAATTAAATCCACGACATCTTGTCAATCAAGATCCCTTGTCACGATGCAGTGTGTAAGACAAGTATGAACCCTTGGAACTTCGTAAAATATACACACTACTGTGACGTATATTTTATGTTGTACGTTATTATAGTAAAGGTAAGGTTAAGGTTTTTTTTTAAATGCATGAAACAGAACATATTCTAGATATTTCAAAGTCATGTTTCCCTTCACCGTCAATCATGTAGTAAATATCAATAAATAATTTCATTTTTGTGTCCGCAGTCCACGCCCTTCTATTAGGATACTGCCGCGTCAAATTGCAATTAACAATTTCATTGGTGTCAATGGAGATCGAATCCGGGTCGTTTGCGTACTGTGAAACTTACAGCGAGTGTTTAGCTCACACGCTACCACGGCCCATGCTTGATTAATAAGGCTCAATAAAAGTTTGATTATTTTGTAGTAAGGAAATATTGTTAGTCAACATTAGGCAATGATACATTTTGCAATAATTTTACTATAATATATAAACAGTCGTTTCCTATTGCACAGCACAGTTCTAACAATGAATCAATTCTTAGTACTTTTATTCGTAGCGGTGTGTTGTGGAGTAAGTTTGAACATTTATTATTTTATAACAACGTAGTAAGTAATTTGGATAAGTTAAAATTTTTAACTGTGTTATATTACAGGTGGTCTTAGGGCAGCAATCACAGCAATGCCTTCCACCACGCTATCCTCCACACGGTTGTGTGGAGACAGTAACGACCGTTCCCGCGGCACCTGCGGATGTTAACACATTGCTGCAGCTGGCATCTTTGATTAACAAAATTGAAAACGGCGACAAGAACAATATTGCCAGTACAGAGGGTATTATTACCAGATTGATTGACGCTCTCATTTTGGTTGCAACCAAGAATAAATGTGCATCTAATGGCAGGGATCTGCTCAATGTAGACCTTGGTGGTAACGACCTTCTAAGTATTCTATAATAGATTTTTATTTATAATTCGTTTATGTAACATATGCATGTATAAAAAGTCAGAACGTAATAATTTTAACTTGTATAGATTTAAATATTCTTTAGTTGTCTAAGATTTTTGAAAGACTATAAATTATATCACTAACTTAGGATTATATTTTTCTGAAAAATAACTTGTATATTTTAAAATAATATTTTACAACAATAATGTTTTAAAGTTGACAATAAAATATCTTTAAAAAAAGAAATTATTATTTTGTTTCTTATTTTTCAATTCATGGCCCATAGTTAGTCACTTGTCATAACAGATGCAGTAGAAATAAAAGAATAGGTTTTTTAAATTCTTCCGTTCTTAGTGCGGCATATGCCTAAATCACATAGGAAAAGTGTGAACAGATAATACACGTTGGAAATATAAAATCCCTACTAACTGTTTTCTTTAATGCTAAAGTGAATTCTTTTGCTTAATTGAGAACGGATCGATCTGAATTTTTGCACATTTAGGGGACGAGATGGACACAGCAAACTTGCGTGAAAATTTAAATTTCCCACGGTAAAGTAGAAAATCTATGTCAGTGAAACATTGGTAGTGCAACTAAGCTCTCGTGTCCCATTTTCTTTGGCAAATAACAGGGAAATACTTTTTGTGTTATCGTAGCAGCAATAGGGGCACATACTAATTTTCCATCTAAAATCTTTAATAAGGCTTGAACATCCTTAAAGTTCTAAATAACATGAAAAGTAATCCGAAGTTTAAAATGCTTATTACATTACATTTAGACATATTTAAATTAAAAAAAAAATACATTTTTATTTATTTAAATAACTGATAAAACAAAAAAACTCATAGTTCACCGGATGTTAAGAGGCTGTGCACCCCATGGAAACCGGCAGCCAACTTCAACCAAAGAAAGCTATAGATAATTTGTCATCTCTGAGGACTGAGACGGAACGCGAAAAGTTTTAGGATAGGAAAAAAATGTGTTTATTTCCTCGGGAAATAGAAAATAATATAGCATACGTATCAATAAATGGAGTACTTTTGTTGGTAATTCCTTCCCCTAAAGAGTTGGGCATTAAAATAACCTGTGAGGTTCAGCGGGAATTTGAGGGAATTTGACAGCTCAGTGGAAAACATACAAGAGCCAAGAGTGGAAGGTTCTAGGGGTCGTTAAGTTTGCCTTTGCAAGCATCACTGAATTACATAATATAATTTGATATAATATTCTCAAAAATACAGTAAGTGCCGCAAATATTAAGAATCAAACGAACTCACATAGTGATGTTTGATATGTAATCATACGACTGTCTTGACCGATGATGATTACATTTACATGCAGCAGTACACCAGATGATGCTGTCCTAATCAGACTTTTAGAATAATTCTTTAAACTTCTTTCTTTCTTTTAGAATAATTTTTATACTTCTTAAAATCGATAGACTAGTTTTGTATTTGACTTATTTCCCACAACTATTCGAGATAATCACTGACCTCTATATATACATATAGAGATCAGTGGAGTGAATAGTTAGGGCGGGGGGCCTGGCCATACTGGTTTCCATAGATCATAATTTTTTTAGAGTCCCATTTTTCCGACTGTTTCCGGGATCTTAAAAGGATGAGGGTGGGTGTGTAATCATCTTCGGTCAAGACACTTGTATAATTAGATATCATCACTAGGTAAGTCCGTTTGATTAACATTTACATGCAGATGTTTAGAGTATCGAAAAAATGCTAGAAAAGCGATTAACATTATAATTATTAAATCAATAATTATTTTTTCGTAACATTATAATAATATTCACTAAAAAGATAATAAATAATATGTACTAATTAATAGTCATGAACTATTTTGACTAGGAAACAATATTTTAACAAATTTATTTTTAGTTAAATTAAATAAATTTTTTATAGTATTTTATGAATACAGTCGAAAATTCGGATCATCCTGCTCTTTTTGAATACTAATAAAGAGTTATTCTTCTGAGGGAAGGAGTTATATCTATACATGATTTGAGACACAAAGCTGGGCTCACTTTAAGATTCTCCATAAAGTTATTTATCACATCGTCGACTTTAGTTTGAATTTGTTCCGAAATAAATTTCTATATTTTTAATTTTTATTAAACTAAGGGACTGCATTCTGCGTGCAGAAGCTAATGCCAAAAATATTATCGTTTTTTTGGATAATTTTTTTAAAGAAAACGAATCATTCGGGATATTATTTTCTAGATTGGGATTCTGGGTAGTAGAGTATTTTGGTGCGGCAGGTTTCCAGTAAACACCATTTAATATATTTTTATAGTATCATTACATATAATGATACTGTAAAAAGATACCTCGCCTATCAGTATTGATAAAGCTGAACGATCGCATTTTAATTTACTGTAACTAATACAGGAATCACAATCGGAAGAGATACATCCTGATTCTAAAAACCCACAATACACACATCGGCTGTAACCGTAGCTGATTGAATTTTCCACTATTGAATCTTAAACAGAAGTGGACATAGATATGGCCTTTGATGATTTTAAGTGCTCAGGCAGGGGCAACTGAACACATAATCATCAACTTTGGTGTTCATCATTACTTCACGCTTTTGTTTGCTAATAGAATTGACGATGGCGAATTGCCTTGAAAGAGATTCTCGGTGGTGAGTATCACATATCAACCGCCCTGCGTCACTCAGCGTTTTAATAACTTCTTGCGGGATATTATCGGCTTGCGCTAATACCATGTTTGATGCTTTGCCGATTGCAAAGATACAGCTAGCCATTTTACTTTGCTTTTGTTCACTATAGGAGTCCTTTTAAACTTAATATAAGACAGTGCCGATTTAATTTCAGGACCTAAAATGGGCGCCCATATATTATATGTCGGTAGATATTGTTTCAGCAGATCGACTTTCTCTTTAGCCCGTTAGCCAAAATATATTTCCATTGTGTGGCCAAATCTTTATGTAAAATTACTCCAAAAGATTTAGTTTGCGTTGGGTCTGACCCCAGTAATTGCAAAACGTCTGGACTAATTCGTCATTTATGGTGCCTCTGATGGGAATTCATCTGTAATGACGTAAAATAGTAAGGTACTTGACAAGTTTCTATTTTACTTATTGCGTTACAAAAAATTTCCACACACGCATTGCGTCGGTAATTTTTATTAAGTATCTATTATTCTATTAAGTACATTTCCGTCGGATTACATTATCCCCACACGTTTTACATTGGGTTATTTAACAATAGTTGGAACTAAATGATTACTTTTAATTAATTAAATAATTAGTTGAATATTCTAAAGCACGGTAGGTATTAATAACTTGAATATTTTGAAGATAGCTTTGAGACTTACCTAAAACTTCTCGATCACTGATAATAAAATATTATCACCTTCTTTAGATGAATTTTTCTGACGACGACGATGAGAAAAATTTTCTTCGTTTTGTTTTTATTATCTTTTTTACTTTATTCTATACCCTTTCCACGAAGCAGTTTACAATCAAATTAACACAAAAATTCAATAAAATTGGGTGGAATATTCGTTTTAGACGCTCCCGATGGAACAAGCGAACATTCCTCATAATCATTTGCTATTATCAAAAGTTAGAAGTACTCGCGGAATTGTTTTGGCTGTAGTTTCTTCTGAGATCGCAGCTACACAGTTTGAGGGTGGACAAACTGCTCATGCTACCTTCTAGTTACCACTTAATTTAACAACAGCTTATACTCCCATTTGTAATATATCGAAACAAAGTAATTTTGCTGAAGTATTAAAACATACGAAAATGATAGTGTGGGATGAAATAACCCTGGCTCATAAAGATGGCGTAGAGGCTTGAAACAGAACTCTGCAAGATATAAGAGGAAATAAGAAGTTAATGGGTGGTGTAACGATTTTGGCGGCTGGAGATTTTAGACAGACTCTACCAGTAGTGCCAAAAAGAACTAGAGCAGATGAAGTTAAGGCGTGTCTTAAGAGATCCGCTTTATGGCCTCTAATTAAAATCCTCTAACTCTCGAAAAATATGCGACTCCAAACCGGGTAACGTAATTTTTCAATTTCATGACAATGTAAATTTTAAAACTTTTTGGAACTGCCAAAGGGATGTATGACATGACTACTGCCAAGCTCATATGATCCTCACTGAAACCAAAGAAATTGCTAGGTAATAGTTCTTTTAAAATTTGATTTACCATGTTGTAGGTTATTCGACGATTAAGAAAAACATCATAAGCAAACCTACTTATTTAAAATTGAATAAATAATTTTTACAACTCTATCTTTCGATTATATTTGTAAACTATTGTACTTTTTTCACTAAGATATTAGGATTTATATACTTTTTATTACGTTATTCTTTATTATTTTTGTTTACTGCGTTTAGATACAATAGTATCATTATAGAACATTATTTTACATTATTTTATTACGATTTATGTTATTATATTAAAATGCCCTTGATCACTCAATAACACTTCGTATCCATACTTCAGAATATTAACCACAACTTTTGATAGGATGGACCGATTTTAATAAAACAAAGACTAAATATAAAACGAAGTTACGCTTCATAATTTTCCTAACGACTATTTTGATATAAATCGGTACTTTATACATGGTACGTTAACAAACATACAAGCAGACAGAAAGACAGACATACAATTCTAAAAATGATAGAATAGTATATAATTACTTACTTTTAGTCCCTATTAATCAATTTTGTTACAAAAATATAAAATGTACAGATATCTGCAATTTGCGTTTTTAATATATGTAAAGAAGATTGTCCAGAAACGTATGTAAGTTCTCATACCAGTCTGGGAGGTATATATATATATATATATACCTCCCAGACCAGAAGTGAAATACTAACTCTGCATTAACTCTATTTCTCTAAACTCTCTAATTCATCACTATATCTCCAAAACTAAGGGCCCATTGACTTCAAATTTTAGTTATGTACTCCTTCCTCCTCGACGTAGACACACAATAAGGAAGAATTTTGGAAT